CTGCATTCTCCGAGACATTCTCTTGCTGCCTCATTCATGCGCTTTTCTGCGTTCGCATCTCTTGGATTTGACTTGGATTATCTTGTTCTCTACTAGTACTGTACTACTACTACTACTACTACTCGGGAGTGTAACTGGGATCTATCTATGGCAACTGACACTAGTTCAGTCCTGATTTGTTCGATACTGACAGAATCATCCAGAAATAAACTATATGTATGTAGCTGTGCCCCAAATGTACGAATATCCGAGCGCAAGCGGCCACTTCACTCCGTCATTACTTTGGGATCACCAAGGACCATGGCAGAACGGCAGTATGCGACACCGCGCCTGTTCGAAGATAGGCCTTTGAAACAGGAGAGCGGTCTTAATGAACGTCCGTACTCGTCTTTGATGTCCGGTCGATGACTCGGAATCAATGCCGCCACAAATATTGCCAGTCAACGACGTGCTTTCGCTTCTTTCCCGCGGAGACATGGCTGCGACCTCTGCGTGGTCGGACTCTGTCAGCACTCCGGCGTGTTTGATATGCCGTGTTCTTGCCAAAAACCTGAAAGCCCAGTGGAGTCTTAGGGTCGAATACCTGGAGGTAGGCTCGGACATCATAGCCGTGTCCTAGGCTCGCAAGTGACGTTACCGGTGTTCCTCCTTTCGAAGCCACCCCTTTTCTTCAATTCCCTCTCGACTGGTTGGCGCGCGTGGAGCGGCAGTTGCCTCGGTTTGGGGCTCCTAGAGACGACTTTCAGGCAATCACATCAAAAGTCTTATAATTACGCGACTCGTGCCCAAGTCGTATCCTTGTTCATGACCTCGAAGCTCGCGATGTGCTATATTCTATAATTTGATTCATAGCCATCATCATACATTGTCCGCAAACTCACTCTAGCCAGGGATAGGAAGGATACCAATGCCAATACGAGGTATCAATCGGCCACTTCTTCGGGTTCCAGATCTTCCTGGGCTTCCTGTTCAGTCAGAACAACGTAATTGTGCAACCTGTTGGCCAGCTCAAACTCGAGATGAGTTTGGCCTGATTTTCTACCCCATATATCTGACCTCGAAAGGTCCACTATACCATCACTTATAGGCCCCTCATAATCTGACACAGGCACGCCATCACCTTTCATGTGCTTCAGGACTCCTTGGCGAAAATTGTCTCGAAAGAGATCGTCGAGAGGGCGCATGTCAGGATCTGTAATGTGATCAAGAGAACCATCATACGTCGGGATCGACACTGTTTTCATAAGTGTCGCAGGCATATTGCATGTCAATTCTGAGCAACATCGTATTCTGGATGGAGTCAATTTTGGTGGCCTGTCAACTGCCACGAGGGATGCAAAGTCGGCGATATGCTTTGTGAAACCTTTAATCTCCCGCTGCAAGAGAAGGTTAGCAGTATACGATTGATGTCGCACTAGCTTAAGGAGCGTGATTTGGATACACTGTTTTGGGGCTATTGGAAACGGTTGGATAACGAGAGACGGCTATACTCAGTCTTAGGTCATAGGTGTACCGCCTATAAAGATGTATTAGACAGCCCAAACACAAAGTACGAATGTCTTAGTTTATACTCGGAGAGAGGACAAGAGGACAATGTAAGTTCAAACTTCCCGGCGCTGGGATTTTCAGGGGAACAAATAGTCTAGGCCACCCAGGAAATTTATCGTCGAAGTTGAAAATAGCCCAGGGTTCAGACAATTTAGTAATGATCCTCTGCAAGTAGTCCGAGTCGTGGAATCGTTGCCAATTGATAAGGTTGTACTAGTGAAAACCTGGTGTGGTTTAGGTGGTGTGGTTTAGGTATATCAGCGCCTCGGCGTCGAGATGATACGATGATAATCCTCACAAGAGATGGGAGTGCCGTCAAGGTTGATAAGTTCAACATATTTGTTGGTTGAAGGTAAAGCCTCCATAGTTTTGAATTCTGGGAGACGGTGGCGAGCTTGAAAGCGGCCCTCATGATGATTGCCGCCGGCTAATTTGTACGGAAGTAATCAAATGATCTTCCCACGCGACCAATGACTAATGATTTTCCTGGCAGTTGCGGCCGCTTGTGCCCAAGTTGTAGACTCGTAACCACTCCCTCCATGAAGAGAATCCTCGATGGAGGGAACGGTCACTGATCTACCCAAGTTGTGCCCCATCCCATGGCGGTGCCCGCCGAAAACCCCGGAATGCTTGTCTATAAAGACCAACAACCAAATTGGCACGAACATGGAAACAGTCATTCCATTCCCGTTCTATGGAAGCCATTCTCGTTCAAAATGAGGACTTTACTCAACTCTTAGCGTTTTCTATAACGTTGATTCGGGCATCACCAAGGGTCAAAAGATATCACAGAAGAACCTGAGGCCTCGAGTCTGGACCGCATCCAGGCCCTCTCCGAACCACGTCGAGTTCCTTACGAGCACTTTATCGGCCTCTTTAGCTTTGACAAGCCTTGGATCTGAGAACCCTACCGGTCGTTGCCGCGGTATTACCCAGCAAAAGTTCTTAATCAACTGTGAAGTCCCACTCTCGTTCAAACAGATATCTGCACCGACCATGGACGTCTTCAATCCTAAAATTCTCGATGCTAGCATCCGTGACGTCTCGTCATGCCTGACCGACAATCAAAAGGTCGACCTCCTCCTCTATGCTTTGCGGAGTCTTCACCCAGAGGGGTAAGTAGCCGATCCTTATGCGATTTGCGTTCCGCTGACCCAGCCTCGACTTGAACACACGTACACATAAATCGACAGGCGCTCTAGAATCATCATTGAAAATGCAGTTCAATCGTGCCTATTGATCTCCACACTTTCCGCCGAGAACACGGCAAAAGCTCGAATACTGCGGGCCAGGGCTAGGCTTGCAGCTGGATCTCACTTTGGTGCACAGGAGGGTATGTTTATCATCTCCATGACACCGCCCAACTTGATCTTTTACTGATATTCACGGCCTGCCATGTCTCCAGACCTCCAAGCAGCATTGGTCGCAGAACCTGACAACCCCGAGGCGAAGGCATTACTCCATCAGCGTTCAGTGGCGGTCGAGAAGGTTCTTCTTGACCTTCGATTGAGTTTGTAAAATGACTGATGATAACTATCTTAGCTCTTGTCACCGCTACCGGCAAGGAAAGAACGTTTCTCTGTTGAAATATGGCGTGAGGTTGCACTTTATTTACCTCGCCACGACCTCAAGGCTCTGTTATTCATACCACATGCCGTATCTCGTGTTGCCAGTCGCATCCTCTTTCAGAAGCTTGACCTCCACTTTGGGGGGATTGACGCCGAGGAGGGCCGAAGCGATCCGTGGCCGCACCATACTGGAGACGTTGGACTTACCAGAGACGAGGATGCGCGGCATGCTCAGAGGAGCGCCGATATTCTCACACGCATCATCATCGATTCAACGTTCGCTAGTGCTGTACGGACGCTGAGAATCTATGCTCCCATACGTGACAGAGATGGGGCAATGGCATTCCAGATAGGTGGGATCATGATTCATGACCCATTGAAGCCCTTGCTGATCGGCGTGGTCTAGGCATGCTGACGAACGCACTCCCAAATCTTATCAACCTCCGCAACGTTCATATCTCCGCAGGGGTTGAAGGCACACTCCCAGTTCTCCGCGTCTTGCAAACCTGCACACCCCGGTTGCGTGGCCTCTCTCTCCAGTGAGCGATGAGCTACATCTATCATGCATTGTATACTGACGGAAGCCTCAGCTCACCGGATGGGCCCGCCGATCTCCAGCTCGACTTCAAAACCCTCGCCCACTTCTCATACTGCACGTCCGGCGGATCGACAAACCAGATCCAGTCCTTCCTCGCACAGAACCGTGACTTCCTACGCACTGTGTATATCGACAACCCGCATTGGGTCTTCCCCACGAACAGCGTCTCCCTGCGCAACCTCACACACTTCAACTTTACGGGCCACGTTCCCCTAAATAACCAGCTCTTCGCTGACATCGTAGCCAATGGCCGCCAGCTCGAGTCGCTCTCGCTCTCCTGCTCACTTGACGGTGCCACCTCCCAGCAATTTCGTGCTACCCATCACGCATACGGCCCCGTCTTGCCCTTCCTTCGCCACTTTGCCTTCTCAATAACCGCGGTTCACCGACGCGTTGCAGACCGTGATCTCTTCCCGGCCGTTGCTGATTTTCTGAGGGGCCGCCAGCACCTCAGGTCACTGGTACTCACTGCCCATGACGAGAGCGTGCAGCGTGCCGTAGGGCTCGACGCAGCCGTGTGGGGCGTACTTCCGTCGTTGGTTAACCTGCGGAGCTTGAAGATTACTTACCCACCGGATCTGACACCCGGCCTGGCGTCGTGGCTAATTCCAAGGAGTGTGCTCGCACTGGCATTGACGCTGGACCACGTTCCCTCGCCTTCCAGAGACCTAGTCCCATTCCTTGAGGTGAATATTCATTCTCTGCTGCATCTTGTCAAGGATTAACGCGCTCCTATTACAGCAACTGCGAGCTGGTATTCCAGCTACGATGCGATACATCGGCCTGCCGGACTTGCTGCCCCTGCGCAATGTCTCTGCCATTGTTGGACTCGGGTTCCCCATGGTGCGTGTGGTGCGCGTGGGCAACAGCTATTTCAGCGTTCATAGGGGCGAGGATGGCTCGGTGAAGGAGTTGGAGCCGTGTCCAAAACGGACGGTGGCGTATCACTGCGTCGAGTGGTTGGAGTGGCGCGGCTGCGAGGATGCGTGTGCATGGGATCCGTCTGAATTCCCTTCGTAGGGTGCACTCGGCATTTCAAATTTAAATAAGGATAGTTATTGCCCCAGTGCCAATTGCGTTGCTTTGCGTGGTTGAGTGAAATAACCCATTTCCAAATCTGGTGGCTCAGGGCGAGATAATTCCAAACCCATTGATACCAAGACTGTCAGTGGCTGCTCAGTCGTATATCGTTATGTTCTTCCTGGTTGTCTTATCTGTCCAAGGAATATCCTCGGATGATATGTACGTGCCGGAAAAACATAACCCGGAAAAATATTACACCTCTGTTCCCTCTAGCCGACTTGAACGACTGACCTCGTCATTTCGTGAACTGTACTAGTGACGCGCTCTACCACTGAGCTAAGAGGGATGTCAGACACTGATATCTCTCGTCCTCTAGGACACGCGGACAACTATTTGGGAGATATGAAGCATTGATGAAGCGCTGAACCTACCAAAATTCGACTCACGACTCCAACTAGAGGCTTGCTCACAATATTAATATATTGTAGAATTACACTCGAGTCTCAACAGAATACGGCTACATTGCAACGGACGTCAGCGGGCATGTATTACTTCATCGCTACTTGAACGAAGGGAAGGTAAATTACTCAGGTTAGGACGTGATCTTCGATCCTACAGCTACCGCGAGGAAGCTAGCGGCATATCCTCTTGGTAGTTGGGCGGTGGTGGGTCCACCAGTGCAACGGTTGAAGGTGCCTGTTGTACATAGGGATCTGGCTTCTCGCTTGACTGTCCTCCGCGCACAACATACCCCGCGTTCCAAGCCACGGGAACATATGGTTCGGCAATCAAGTTTGTTGAGGCACGGCGAGCTGATTTTTTTCGTCGCAGAAGGCAGAGAAGAAGGCCAATAAGGCCCAGGAGGATGACGGCGGTGGCAACACCGACGGCGATGCCAATTGTTGTGCCTTTAGAGAGGCCCGAGGCGGAGGATGAGGTAGGAGAATCGATTGCTGTGGTGGGCTGCGATTGACGAAGCGGATCCGTAGTAGATCCTATGGCCTGGCTGGTGGTAGAAGTAGAGGAATAGAGATACAAAGAATCAGATATAGATAGGGGCTGAGGTGATGTTGAAATGGAGCTGGATGGAGGATGTGACACCGTGGACAAAGGCGAGGTAGAAGTATGCGAGTCAATTGTCGTTGTCGTTATTACTGCTCCGCCACTCTCCGACGTGGTCGCAGGAGACGGGGTTGATACCTCGCTTGTCGTTGTCACCGCATCCCTTCCTACCGCAAAGCGATCAAGCCAGAGCCTGTTACCGCCCGTTGCGACCAGCGTGATCACGAGTGTATGTTCGACATTGGGATCTAAATTTGAGGGGGAATGGAAGAACCGGCGGTCATATGCGGCCCCATTAATGACAGGAAACCCAGGGAACAGTGTTGGTGTCGCGTTATCGAGCGCGTAGGACGAATTGGGGGTTCCAGCGTTCCCAAGGGTGCCATATTCGACGGTGCCAAAGACAGCAATATTTGTGCCTATGATTGGATGGTCTATACGCTATACTTGATTGTGAGAAGATTTGGTGGTTCGTACCTCTAAATTTGACAGTAGCCTGTGCACCAGCAACACTCGTACCGTGTGTGGTTCCATCGAACTCGTTGGGAGTTCCAGCTGCACCCCAGTCTCCTGTGTAGGTGACAGCGGAGTAGTCAGAGTCATCGATGTTAATTGAGGTTGCCATGGAGGGATTATTCTAATATTTGAAGCGAGCGAGCGTGTGTTGAACGAGTGAGAATGCCTCCTAGAACCGGAGGTTAGTCCAAAGGCTCGTAAGCCTGAGACTACAGGTGGTATTGGTGGAAGATAGAGATGAAACAAGAAGCCAAAGGGTTGTTGCAGAGTTCTGTTGGCCCACCATCACGGTTGTGCCAACGTCATGTGGAGGACCTGAACTCGGAGGTTGTAACTTCCGTGCAATATGAAAGTTATCCAGATTTTACAATTTTACTAGGTTGTGTGTCTGAAGCCTGAAGGAGCCTTCCGATTCGGACAATTGCAACTAGGATACCGTAGTCTTCTTGAGTTGACGTCTACATAATAGGCAATTGCAATCACACCTCCAGTCCTTCTCACCCCAACTAGAGGCTTGCTCACAAGATATAGTAGAATTACACTCGAGTCTCGAACAGAATACGACTACATTGTAATGAACATCAGCAGGTAAGTATTACTTCATCACTACTTAACAAAGGGAAGGTATATTGCTCAGACCAGGACGTGGTCTCCGATCCAACAGCTACCGCAAGGGAACTAGCGGCATATCCTCCTGATAGATGGGCGGTTGTGGCTCCACCAGTGCAATGGTTGAAGGTGCCTGTTGTGCATAATAGGGATCTGGCTTCTCGCTTGATCGTCCTCCGCGCACAACATACCCCGCGTTCCAAGCCACGGGAACATATGGTTCGGCAATCAAGTTTGTTGAGGCACGGCGAGCTGATTTTCTTTTTCGTAAAAGGCAGAAAAGAAGAAGGCCAATGAGGCTGAGGAGGATGACGGCGGCAGCAACACCGACGGAGATGCCAATTGTTGTACCTTTAGAGAGGCCCGAGGCGGAGGATGAGGTAGAAGAATCGATTGTTGTGGTGGACTGCGATTGACCGAGCGGATCTGTAGTTGACCCTGTGGCCTGGCCAGTGGTAGAAGTAGAGGAGTACAGATACAAAGAATCAGATGTAGATGGGGGGTGAGGTGATATTGAAATGGAGCTGGATGAATGTGACACCGTGGACAAAAGCGAGGTAGATGTTTGCGAGTCAATTACTGCCGTCGTCGTTATCACTGCTCCGCCACCCTCTTTCGACGTGGTCACAGGAGACGGGGCTGGTACCTCGCTCGTCGTCGTCACCGCATCCCTTCCTACTGCAAAGCGATCAAGCCAGAGCCTGTTACCGCCCGTTACGACCAGTGTGATCACGAGTGTATGTTCGACATTGGGATCTAAATTTGACGGGGAGTGGAAGAACCGGCGGTCATATGCGGCCCCATTAATGACAGGAAACCCAGGGAACAGCGTTGGTGTCGCGTTATCGAGCATGTAGGACGAGTTGGGAGTGCCAGCGTTCCCAAGGGTGCCAAATTCGACGGTGCCAAAGACAGCAATATTCGTGCCTATGATTGGATGGTCTACATGGTATACTTAATTGTGAAAAGATTTGGTGGTTCGTACCTCTAAATTTGACAGTAGCCTGTGCACCAGCAACACTTGTACCGTGGGCGGTTCCATCGAACTCGTTGGGAGTTCCAGTCGCATCCCAGTTTCCTTTGTAGGTGACAGCGGAGTAGTCAGAGTCATCGATGTTAATTGAGGTTGCCATGGAGGGATTATTCTGAAATTTGAAGCGAGCGAGCGTGTGTGTTGAACGAGCGAGAGCGCCTCCTAGACTATCCCTAGGGGCCGGAGGTTAGTCCAAAGGCTCGTAAGCCTGAGGCTACAGGTGGTAATGGTGCAGGATAGAGATGAAACAAGAAGCCAAAGGATTGTTGCAGAGTTCTGTTGTGAAAGATGGCCCACCATCACGGTTGTGCCAATGTCGTGTGAAGGATGTGTAGAGGACCTGAGCTCGGGAGGTTGTAACTTCCGTGCGATATGAAAGTTGTCCAGATTTTGCAACTTAACTAGGTGGTGTCTGAAGCCTGAAGGAACCCTCCAGAGATACAGACAATTACAACCAGGATATAGTCTTCTTGAGTTGACGTTTGCATAAAAGGCACTGCTTGCAACTGCTTGCAATCACTCCTCCAGTCCGACTTCTGATGTTGATGCCCATAATGAATAACATCGTTAGCGTAGGTAGATATCAATATAGTAACATAGTAACATGATCACAACGACCTACCATGAAACTACACTCGAGGCGTGAAATACAACCTGATATGTTGTAGAATATGGCTATTACTGTGACTAACCTCAAAGTAAACGAGTGTTGAAAGGAACTTGAAATCTACTGTGAGGGGGTCGCTGAAGGCATGTCCTCCTGGTACATGGGCGGTGGTGGATCCGCCAGTGCAATTGTTGAAGGTGACTGCTGCGAATAGGGATTTGGCTTCTCAGTTGACCGCCCTCCGCGCACAACAAATCCCACGTCCCTCGAAGCAACTGGAGCATATTGCTCGGTACTCAACAACGAGGCACGACGAGCTGATTTCCTTCTCCGTAGGAGACAGAAAAGAAGGAGGCCGATGAGGCCAAGAAGGATGATGGCGGCGACAGCACCGACGGCGATGCCAATGGTTGTGCCCTTAGAGAGGCCTGACGAGGATGAAGTAGCAGGATTGATGGATGTGGTGGACTGCGATTGACCAAGTGGGTCTGTGGATCCTGTGGCTTGGCCAGTAGTCGAGGTAGAGAGGTCAAGCTGCAAAGAATTGGACATAGATGGGGGATGGGGGGATGCCGTTAGGGAACTGGATGGAAGAGACGTCGCGGAAGAAGAACGTGTGTCAGTCGGCGTCGTCACCCTCGTTCCTGTTCCCCCACTCTCCGTCGTCGTCGTTGTCGCTGCTGCTGTTGTCTCCGGGGCTGGAGCTGGGTTTTGGCTCGTCGTCGTCGCTGCGGCCCTCCCCACCGCAAACCGATCAAGCCAGAACGAATTACCACCCGTTGAAACCAGCGTAACCACGAGCGTATGTTCAACATCGGGATCTAAATTTGAGGGAGAGGTGTAGTACAGGCATTCGAACGCGGATCCTTTCGAGGTAGGAACGCCGGAGAACAGTGCGGGGGTCGCGTTGTCGAGCACGTACGATGAATTGGGAGCAGCGGCTGCAGTCCCAAGGAAGTTTTCAATTGTGCCAAAGACGGCGATGCTTGTGCCTACGTTTGTGTGGTTTGCCAAAACGATCCTATCGCGAAAAGGCCTGGCTGACGTACCTCTAAACTTGATAGTGGCCTGTGCACCAGGATCACGCACACCGTGAGTGGTTCTATCAAATTCATTGGGGCTCGCTATAGAAGGTCCAAGTGCAACCCAGTTTCCCTTGTAGCTGACAGAAGGGTCAGTGTCATCGATGTCGATTGAGGTTGCCATGTAATAATATTTGAAGCGAGAGAGCGTGTGTTGAATGAGTGAAAGGGCCTCCTAGGCTGTCCCTAGGGGCTGGAGGTGATTCTGAAGGCTCTTCAGCCTGAGGCTGCAAATGGTTCTGGTAGAGAATGGAGACGAAACACGCAGGGACGTTTGCGGGTTTCGTGAAGGGGCGCTCGCCATCACGCTTATGCCAATGTCCATGTGGATACAAGTTGAAGCTTTTGAAGACCTAAACTCGGGGGAACTCCACAATTTGAATGTTGCACCGCCACCGTCACTTCTTTTCTTCAACATCTCTCTCACGACGGCGGCT